AAGGGTCATGGTCCCCTTCTAGGAGCACACACACAGTAAGTTCCAGTCTCGTTCCTCTCTTTCTATCCCCATCAAGAGAGAAAATCCAGAGGGAAATACAAGTGCTCTCCAAGTGGAAGACCATAAGATCAATAGTACTCTACAAAGGATACCATCATTATGGCTAATTCAGGTACGCTTTCGCATTCGGTTTACAACATGTTTATGAGTATGAGATTATGTTTATGTTTGATTGTTAAAATCAAAATCAGGATCATAATAGTGAATTACTAACAAATGGTATCAGAGTCACCCATTCTCGATTCATGTTTGTCTTTGGAAATTAAATTTAACAAAATTCATATTCTGTTTAAATTAAGAACCTAGGTGGAGTATAATCTCTAATTTTTGTAAACCCTAAATTCAAATTTGGGGTTAAATCTCCTGGTTGTCTCTCCGCTTCGCAACCACCAAACAAAACCTTTGTAGGAGTCTTGCTCGTGCAAGAATAACACCCACAGGAAGTGACGGATCTTCTTGGGAGCTGAGGGGGTCGTGGCCCCCCCAAAGTTTTGTAACTCCCATGTAATTTATGATTTTGGCCCCCAAACATAATGAACATTTAATATATTTACTTGTATATTTACAATTTTATCCTCTCAACCCCTCCTCAGTTTGTAACTCTCATATAATTTATGATTTTGTTTCCCTCAAACTTAATTATCATTTAATATATTTAAGTATATATCTACAATTTTATCTTTTCATCCTTTCATATTCTTATTTTTTTATATTTATTTATTATTTATTAATAATATATTATTTGGCCCCCCAAAATCAATGGTCAAGATCCGCCACTGCCCACAGGTAGTCTCTCACTAATAATCCCTTTGTACACTGCCTCTAACATTTTCGTAAGAATCAAAGTTGTCATTTACGAAAGACCGTCGATACCTCCTCCCATTGATTCTAATTGGTGGTGACGGAGGCGACGGACATGGTAGTGGCGGCGGAGAGAATAAACAGTGTGGAGTTGTGTGTCGAACCCTAGATCGAGAGCATTTCGTCCCAATCGATGCCTTCTGGTGTGAAATAGCTCTGAAGCACTCGTCATACATAGCAGATCACAATTCAGCGGTGATTCATTTTCCCCTTCTGCGAATGCACCTTCGTTTTTTGGTTTTCTGTAGGTCTATGGAGGTGCATTCTACAACAGTGGTGTTTCAATCGCAGCGGCAGGCTTCCTCCATCAACGGTGGTTTCGTCTTCTCGCAAGGGGCCTCGCGCAGGTGGTCTGCGAGATATGTTTGTGGCAGTGGTTTCGCGGTGGACACAGTCACGAGGTTGCTCGCGACGGCAAGGGGAAGCGTCAGAGAGGTTTGAACAGCGGTGGCTTGGGCCTCTAGTTCATGTACAGGGTCATGGCTTCTCACGGTGGCTCTCAATTTGGTTCTGAGGCAACGACGTTGGTCCTCTTCACTGCTGGCCTGGTGGATTGTGCCCATCTAGATCAAGAGATGACACAGACGTGGGGAAATTTATTGTGCAAATACCACTTGTTAAGAAAGTGAAGGGGTTTCCAAAAAGTTGTTTGATGAAATGCCTGAGAGAGATTGAGAGAGATTATGTTGCATGGAACACGATGATTGCGGGGTATGCGCAATGTGGAAGGCCAAAGGAGGCGTTGGATATGTTCCGTTTGATGCAAATGGAGGGTGTGAAACTTAATGAGGTGTCAATGATTTTGGTTTTGATTTTGTCTGCATGTACCCATATGGGTGCATTGGATCAGGGAAGATGGGTGCATGCATATGTGGAGAGGCATAAGGTTAGGATGACAATGACACTGGCAACTGCACTTGTTGACATGTATGAAAAATGTGCGAACATTGATAAGGCAATGAAAGTTTTTGTGAGCAAATTGAGTCAAAAAGTCACCAAAATAACCTCTATTGAATTGGGAAGTTCGTGAAAATATTGAATGTTAGTGTTTGTGTATATTCATGCGAATATTAGTCGGCCTAAAGGAAGATTAATATTTGGTCGAATTGCATACACACTTGTAATGATAAATATGTGATAATTATAAGGATTTGCTTTTTCGATGATAAATTAATCCAAAGACTGATTTGTTGTTGGACGTGTTTTATTATCAATGTTTGATCATTACAACAAGATACCCCTAGCAGTTAATATTACTGTCCAAAGACTTGATATTGATGATGCATTGGGTGTCTTGAGATGGGTTATACCATTATTTGAATATATATTTTATTTATAATTATTTATTTTTATAATGTGAGCATAATTAATTTATTTCTCTTGTTCTTAGTTCAGCTACAATTGCTTTTGTATCTTCCAATTTAAATTATGTTCTGATCCTCAATGGAACAAATTTTAAGGACTGGAAATAGAACATTGATATTATTTTTGGCTGCATGGATATGGATCTTGCATTAAGGATTGAGCAAACCCCTACTTCTACGAATTCAAGTACCTCTGAACAGAAGAGAGATTATGAGAAGTGAGATCGCTCAAATCGCATGAGTCTAATGATCATTAAGCACAACATCTCGGAGGTGTTTAGGGGCATTGTTTTTGAAAACATCACAAGTTCCAAAGAATTCCTTGCTGAAATTGAGCAACGCTTTGCAAAAAGCGATAAGGCGGAGGCAAGCACTCTTCTTCAGAACTTGATCTCCATGAAATATTAGGGAAAAGGAAATATCAGGGAGTACATTATGAGCATGTCTAATATTGTTTTTAAACTCAAGGCACTAAAGCTTGAACTCTTAGAAGACTTGTTCATTCATTTGGTGTTGATTTCTCTTCTCGCAACGTTTAATCATTTTAAGGTATCTTACAACTGTTAGAAGGATAAATGGTCTCTTAATGAGCTCATTTCACATTGCGTACAAGAAGAGGAAAGACTAAAGCAAGATAAGACAGAAAGTGCTCATTTTGCAAGCACCTCCAAGGCTAAAGGCAAAAGAAAGAGTTCAGAGGATCTCGAGAAAGAAGCTGCTAAGGGTCCAGAACAAAAGAAACAAACTCAAGAAAACAAATGTTTCTTTTGTAATAAGACTGGACACATAAAGAAGAAATGTGTTAAATATCATGCTTGGTGTGAAAAGAAAGATATATTTCTTACTTTGGTCTGTTCTGAAGTCAATTTAGCGGCAGTACCTATTAACACTTGGTGGTTAGACTCAGGTGCAACTACTGACATCAGTGTTTCTATGAAGGGTTGCCTAAACTACCGGAAGTCAACTGATTCTGAAAGATGGATATACGTTGGAGATGAAAAATCGGTGGAGATGGAGACTATTGGACATTTTAGATTATTATTGTGTACTGGTTTTTTATTTTAGTTTTAAAAGACACTTTTGTCGTGTCGTCTTTTAGACGAAATTTGGTTTCTGTTTCTTATTTGGACAAACTAGGTTATGTGTGTTCATTTGTTAACAATGAGTTCAATTTGTCTTTTAATTCAGATATTGTTAGAACTAGTTCACTTTTGACTCATGATAATATATATTTACTTGATATTGTGGTCACCTATAATGAAACTCTTAATACAAAATCTTGTGGTACTAAACGTAAAATTGACAATACTCACTCAGGTGCATTATGGCACAGGTGCTCAGGTCACAATCTAATCGTGGCGTTTGGGCTTGTGTTACACTCTTAAATATACGGTAAGGAGTATGATTTGTCATTCCACCTTATCGGAATCACTCTGGGGAGAGGCACTAAAGATTGCAGCTTATATTATAAACAGAGTATCAATTAAAGCAGCTACCAAAACACCTTATGAGCTTTGAACTAGGTGAATGCCTATGGTGAACTATTTCTTACTCACAATTTTACTTGGCAGTGTACCAAGTTTCGATGTAGTATTTATAAAGTCGTCCACAGGGATTTGTGAATTAATGATTCTAATTTAAATGAATTTTTATACTTAACCATTTACAGATTTTGAAATCTCTTGTAACCACACATATAAACATAAAATTAGAACAGTGAAAGAAATTTAACTATAATGAGTGATTAAATATGATGCATTTTCTATTCTACCCTTTTCTTAATCATCATGATTCTGTTAGTCCAATTTCATTCTCCTTAATTAACTCAGTATGACTCCTCAATACTAAGATCTAAAATGTTGACTTTTCAACATGATTCCTCAATGAATCAAAATCAACATCCAGCATTAAATTTTCACTCTGAAGATCAGGGACAAGTAAGATCAAATCTATTCCTACAATTTGATTTTACTTGGTGTTTGAACAGTTCTAGAATTTCAGATTTTCTTCCGAATACCTCAAAAACTTAAATCTTAATCTAGTTAATCAAACCAAATTAAGTAATACGCACAAAATCAAACACAACTGGGTAAACAGAAATTGATTATATTTAGAGAATTGCAAAATAGAATTTACATCATATTCAATCCATAGAATTCAGTTCCTCATGGGAGAAAGTACAGAGAAGGGAGAAAGAAGAAAATTACAGAACATAAGCAACAGTGAAGGTAGATCCTTGTTCCCAAGCTATCCAGCCTTCTATTTTGCTTCGAATCTGTGTTCCTGAAGCTCCGGTCGATCTCCTCTCCGTCTCTCTCTCTTTCTTTCTTTTTGTTTTCTTTTCTTCGATACCCCTTTCTCTCACTAAAAATCCATTATATTAAAACAGGGGTTTATCATCCGCTCAGCTCCAATTAATCCGCTAAGCGGATATGTAAATACTTCAGCTTGAAGGAACCTAATCCGCTGGGCGGATCATAATTCGCCGGGCGCATTGAAGCTTGAAATTCCTCTTTTGTTATGGCTACAATTCCGCTGGGTGCAAGAAATTCCACTGAGCAGAATTGGAATAAAAATTTTGTTTACAGCCTCATATCCGCTGAACGCCTGGCATTCCGCTGAGCGGATATTGAAATTTTAAGTTGTGGGCCTGCATCACCAAAAAGGTCCAAATTTAATACATTTTTTCCAAAAAAAACACAATCAGGTTCTAGAAATTATACCTTATCATAGATTTAATCAAATAAATATATTTTTGCAAGGTAAATTTCCACTTATGCATCATTAAGTGAGTAATTATGAATGTAAAAACATGTAATATTATTCACTTAACAGCCTAGTCTGAAACATTTCCATGTGTGGGATTATCCAGCTGAGGCAAGGCCTTAAAAGTCAAATGAAAAGAAAATGGACTCTCGAACAGTAAGTAGTTACTTCATTGGTTATTCTAAAAGATCCAAGAGATATAAATTTTATGATCCCACATTAAAGACAATTTTTGGGACCGGAACTGCTAGGTTCTATGAGTATATTGAGTTTGGGGGGAAGAATAAGATTAAGAACTTTATCTTGGAGGAAGAATTGGTAACAAGTACAGAACCGATTCAAACAGTTACTTTTGATAAAGTAAGTTCAGAACCTCCACAAGACATTGATGATGAACCCTATACTTAAGATGATTTAGTTGTCCGTCAAGAACAAACTCAAGATCCTCAAGAACATGTGCATCATGAGCCAATAACTTTGCAGAAATTAAGGAAATGCAAAAGATTCCCTATGCATCATCTATAGGGAATTTGATGTATGCCTAAGTATGTACGCGTCCAGACATAGCATACATAGTTGGGATTCTAGGCAGATATTTAAGCAATCCAGGAATGGTTAAAGAGAACAAAAGATATATGCTCACATATAGGAGGTCATACCAATTGGAGATCGCTGGATTTTCTGACTCAGATTTTGTAGGATGTCAAGAATTTATAGCATGTTATGAGGCATCAAATCATGGAATATGGCTGAGAAATTTTGTCACAGGGCTGCAAATTGTGAATGGCATTGAAAAACCACTTAAGTTATATTGTGACAATAAATCAGTTGTATTGTTAAGTAAAGAGTACATAGTGGACAGATTCCCATAGAACACTTAGGGACAACCTCCATGATAACAGATCATCTAACTAAAAGACTTCCGTCAAAGGTCTTTCATGAGCATGTTGCTCACATGGGTGTTTTACTATTTGAGGAATTTGTGGTTTAGTGGGAGTTAGTCATTTTCATATATTTTATGTTCTATGTTTAATTTCATATATGTATATATTGATTTTTGGACATATTTGGTTATCTATAGATATGCAGTTTTTTTCGTTCATTCATTACACTTTGTACATTAAGGTTATTATATTGATCTCGATAAGTTAAAGTTTGGACCAATTGAAAATAGACGTGTATAGATCACCTTCATGAAATTTTTCATGCTACACATTTCATGATGAATCCATATCATTTGGTTATGTCAGGATTAGTAATCATTTTTTGTTTTAGTTGCGATGATGCACTGAAAAACTAGTTTGGTTCTATATCCTGATATGATCAATGGACGGGACTTTTAGAGTATGCTAAAGGAATATAATGTCAATTTTGAGCTCATAAAGTCTAACACATTTGTAAGGTTGTAAGGACATATATATTTGTGACCAGTGGGAGATTATTGGCAAATATTGGGTCATGTATATATATGATACATAATTTAAATGTGTTAGGGTCATTGATTATTAAGCCAAATAATAAAGTGATCTGACTAAATTAAAAAGTTTGGCTAAAGGCATATGTCTTGTATCAAGGTATTCTTGTATCAAGATATTCTCGAATTCATCCTATATTGGGAGAAAAATAAATTAGAATTAACATAAGTTAAGTGGTTTCATAACAATTCAAGGTATAATTATATCAACTTTTTATCACTTAACAATGTTATGAAAATAAAATTTTGTAGAGACCATAGAACAATTTCTAATTTGATGAGGGGTCAAATTAGAAATACTAAAACTTAAGTAATTAACCTAATTCTAGTTATTTAAAGGGTCATGGTCCCCTTCTGGGATTACAC